AAACTAAGCCATAAATGAAGATATTAAAATGAAATTTGGCACAAAGGCATATTTAGACGTAATTTTTTTGGAAAAGTGGGCGTGGCCCCGCCCCTACTAACTTTTTTGTACATATCTCGAAAACCACTATAGCTATGTCAACCAAACTGTATAGAGTCGTTTCTTTCAGGTATTTCTATATACAGTTCAAAAATGGAAGAAATCGGATAATAACCACGGAGGGATGGGAGGTACAAAAGTTATGTTGAAAATCACTAAAAGTGCGTTAACCGACTAACAAAAAACGTCAGAAACACTAAATTTTACAGAAAAAATTTCAGAAGGAAGCTGCATCCAGGCTTTTTCTAAAAATTGAAAATGGGCATGGCGTCGCCCACTTATGGACCAAAAACTATATCTAAGGAAGTACTTCACCGATTTCAATGAAATTTGGTATATAATATTTTCTTAACACCCTGATGACATGTACCAAATATGGGTGAAATCGGTTCACAACGACGCCTGAAATCCCGATTATCACTTTATCATGCGAGAGTATAAAATGTTCGGTGACACCCGAACTTAGCCCTTCCTTACTTGTTTCTTAATAAGTTCCGACATGTTAGGGGAGCTCACTGATACGATTACCTGTTAAATGACCCATCGTCGTTGCAGTCTTGATCAATCATTTTCATTCAATAGTCATAAGCAAAGTCAAGATCTACTGTTTAAGATTTTGAAATTTTATTGATTCCAAGTAAATTTTTGTATTTTTTGCATAACATTACTATTAGTTAAACCAATATCTGCTAGTTTTACTTACAATATACCTCTTAATAAATTAAAATATACTAGATTCGAGCTATAAGTATTTTATTGTTAAATCTAGTAAGGTGCTGTATGCATGGCCATATTTTAACCTTGAATTAGTATGCATATGTTTGTATGAAGATATTATTTAGTTATAACAGACTTTACTATGTAACTATTTACAGTAAATATGATATGACATATTCAAATTAGTACTYATCGAAGGCAAATCATTCGAAAACTGAAAATAATTTATGAAATAGTAAATGATTAGTACAAAGCTTATTTTTAGCTAAACTGGTATAGCAATTTATATTGTATAAAATAAATTTGTTTTGATTATTAAAAATAATATCTGATATAGCCYACAATTTTTTGTCCTTTTCTAGATTTATTGATTGCCAGCCAATATATACTTAATTAAATATTTWAAATTGAAAATTTAATAGTTATTAAACTACTAAACTTTAAGGAACATTTTGAGCATACATATGTATGTCATCTCATCGATTATAGCGACATAAAATAGTTCAACCCATCGCCTTTCGGGAATAAATGTAAATAAATCAAAAGACACCAATATGACGCCCACATCATATTTGGAGCATGAATCTGTCTATATTCTCAATATAGCTCGGCGCCTAAAACTATATTTCATAATGCGCGCTTAGACGCAATGCTTACACGTATATACATATGCATTTATTTCTTACTCTCAAGCTGGTCTTAATCTACTTTCTGCTAGACTTTATATTTTACTACATACTATTTACAAATTGCTCTTAGTTTTTAATAAATGACATTTGTTTTTTTCGCTTTGAGTTACTTTAACCACCAAAAAGCAATAACTTTCAACACTTAAACTTAAATAGCTTTTCATGCTTTACACTAATAAATTTTGTACTTTTAAAGTAATTCAAGTGTATGTACATATAAAGATTGCACTATTTATAGAAATGTGCATGAGTTGTTCGATATGTAGTCAAATATACWTTAAGTTGCCTAGTTTGTGTACTGAAGAAATGAATTCACTTTTACGATAGCGCTGGATAACATATATCAAGATTTTGAGAAAAATTATTATAATAAACAAAACAAGCAGAAACCGCATCTGATCAAATCTAACACGRASTAGTCCTTTCAAATTTGGCACGAAAACCGAATCGATAAATACTTTTATCCTAGATTGATACAACCCTATCTTAAGTTTGTGGGTAATTTGATCTACATAGTACATATCTGGTTTATATTTCTTTGTTTATGACGCTTAAAGTTTGGGTGTCAACTATATTATAAGGTGAGCTCCACAAAKTACTCGTCCACCCGCCTTTTTAAATAACGATAACGTTGTAAAAGTTTAAGAAACAGTGCTTGAAARTGATCGTGCTAGCAACAGAGGGGTAGCAGAGGATCTCAAAAGCTCTTATGGTTCGACGTAACATTTGTGGCTGAATATTTTGGGTATTACACGTGTCAATACTGGAATTCATAGCATAAGGTCTGAGCCTTTCGAAAAAATCAAAAGGAGTCGAGATAACAAAACTATCATCAATCGCTCCATTGCTGATGACGAGACATGGGGTTATGAATGCAACGTCGCAACTATCCAACAATCTAGCGAATGGCGCTGTAAACAATCCGAACCCGAAAAATACAGTCAAAGTCGGTCAAAAATCAAGATGATGCTCATCGTTTTTTTATTATCGTTGTATGGTTCATCATGAATTCGCTCCACGTTCAAGCCTGCCTGTTGAGMAAAAAATTGGATTTTTTTCGACGATGGTGTACCATCACATTCAAGCATGATTGTGACTGACATTTTAGCCAAACGCGAGTTCTGCTCTCGTATTCGCCAGATTGGGCTCTTTCWGACCTGTTTCTGTTTTGGAAACTGTTGAAGACAATGAAGGCCACTTCAGCCAAGACCCGTAATAAGTGTACAGAAAGTTTGATTAAGCGATCCAAGCTTGTGTTAAAGGCGATAATAAAGATTCAGATTGATCAGAAATTAATTAGTTTCCTCACTTGTTATACCAATAAACTTAGCAAATAAYTTTGGGAAACTTGTCACAATTGCAATGCTTCAAATATATTGCTGTAAGGTAAAATTATACATTAGAACACTTTCTTTACAAATATTGTGTTGTATTAATTGATATAAATGTGGATTAAAGAAATTTAAATGGATTTTGAAACAAAGAAATTTAGAGAAAAAATTTTTTTATTTTAAGTCAATAGAATTCGATTTTAATCAAACACTTTTAAATTTTGCTAATATTTTTATAGGTTTTAAGTTCTAACGATCTCTGCATTATGTAGAAAAGTAAGACCAATTAGCTAGCCTAACTTTTTCCAAATATGTTTCTAAAATTCTAAGCTTCATTTCCAACATAATATGTTTTCAGTTAGCAAGGCTCAACTAACTACGTTTCCTCTCTTATCCTACTATTCCTCTTATTCTACTATTTCTTTTTCTCTATTAAAACTAAGTCAATAATAGTCACAAATGATTTCCTTCAGCTCACTTTCATTTTCTCTTTCCTTGCCTCTATTCTTTCGCGTACTCACATATTTATTTAAGTGCTAGCAATTCTACCCAACTAGAGATGAACCTATCAACAATTAATTGACAACGAAAAAAATTATATTAATCTGCAACAATTTATACTAATCAATGATGATGACCGAACAGTCTTCTAGCTGTTGCTCCCACTGCCACTGCAACTGCCATCGCTTGCGCTCCTATTTAATATGCCACAGCTAATTGTCATCTGCCAACGGTTCGAATGCTGTGCGACCAACACCAGTAGCTGCTRTAGCCGTAACATACCGGCAATCGATAGCTTGGTTGGCGCACATAAATATTAAATTGCCAATATTGACACAGAAATGCTATTAACAGTGGCAGCATGGCTRCTAAGTCGGGCAGCGCAAGCAGCARCARTGTGGGTGTGATATGCAAAAGTATCGAATTACGAAACGCTAATGGCAAGAACGCTGCCGCCGATGATGTGGCTGCTGATGACGTGCCGGCATTTTTAAGTTGATTATCTGCAATGAAAACCCGTGAAATTATAGTTAATTGGCTGGGTAATCAACATATGTTTAAATGAAAAGCAAACGCATCAAATAATGACAAAAATTTTAAGTGCTGCACTGTTAATTAGTTTCAATTCTTCTAATATACACATACATRTTTATAGCGCTGTTATTGAAAAACCCGTTACAATATATTGACTGTAAAACTCACCTTCTAATGCTTTGTCACGCAATCGTGACTTGGCCACAACGGTTTCGCGCGATTCCAGTACGGGTATCTTCTGATGTTTCTCATGTGCCACGCTTTCTTCATTGCTTTGCCAATATACCGAAGATATTTTTGCCACACACTAGAGAACAATACAAGAACAAGTACACAATTATTTAATCAATTGGGTAAATAGAAGAATGTGGAAAATATAATATAATTCAATTACGCCGACACAATCGCACATTAATATCTTTCTGATCCAATACACATACACACATACACAGATGAGCTTATATATATTTACTCTAACRCATATACACCCACACGAACTGTCTCACACAGACGTACACTGATGTGCATTCGTTCCCTTGTTGATATTTACTTATCTAACGTTGCCACTAAACAAAGTTGCGAAAATAAATATCTTCATTTCGACAGCTACTAAGTTACACAAATACCCCCAACATACAGACAATATAAAATGAAATGCATTCAACGTGGCGTTCACAAATTTCCTTTTATATACTTGTACATTTCACTGTCCCACTTTTATTGCTATAGCAAACAAGTGGAAAGTAATAAAAGAAAACTCAGTGTAAACATTGCAGGCAGCTCCAAACCCACACACTCATTACGTGGACCACATACACACATAACATTTATATGCCTAGTGCGCTGCCATAAGCAAGTGTTACGTATACGCCATGCTGACCGGCACGTTCAGCGAGTATGTAGTAGTATGACACATATGTGTACGTTGGGATTTTCCACGCACTTTAATGACTCACAGAATCCTGTTAACACAATTGCCGCCAAGCTATCGGACAACCGCAATACAAATACAAATACGCGCTGTGCGCTTTAACAGCAACCTCACGCTCTGGCCATATTCTCAAGCATTTGTGTGTGTGTATGTAAACAAAGTTGTATATGTTCAAATAAACAGCGTCCCCTGGTAGAGAATACGGTCCGTATTTGTTCTGCGTTGAGAAGAAGATTGTTCTTTTGGATGTCTTTTAGTGAATACAGGTACGTAAAAAATCTTCCGAAGGTTAATAATTAAGTTACTTGGAAGTGTTGAGTTCTAAGTTTTGTTCTAATATTTCTCGTTTCGAGTTTTAATAACTGTTGAATAGAAAACGAAACCGAATCATAAAGCAAATTTTTAGTTCGACTTGAACTTTGCTATGCAAATATGACAAAACTAAAATAAATATTAATAATATTTGGTTACATCTCTATAAAATAATTGGAAGTCGATATATGAGTTCTAACTATGTACGACAAAATAAATGCTTTACAGAGGTTCAGTAAATAAAGCTGCCAAGTGGTCGTAAGTATATATTCACAACACTGATGACTTAAAGGGCCTTGGAATCTGCTCGAAAGACGATTTGAGAGTCTCAAAATATTAAATTGCTAAATGGAGACAAAACGAAACTAGAACTGTAGAGTCGAAGCGTTTTATTTGGTTAAATTCAGCGCTTTAAATGAGTTTCACGGAAACGACATTTTTCAAATTTTGCATCAGATGAGTTTCTAGAGTTATAATCGTTACTAAAGCACCTCTTTAAGATGAGAATTAAGAAAATTAGCTCATTAGCCATAAGGGAACTGTGTGACGGCATTTCAAACTCCTTACGTACTGCTGCAACCGAAACATTTGGTTTCCGGAGAGTGCAAAAGAACAGCTGGTACGACGAGGATTGCCGTGTCGCAGCAGAGAGAAACAGGCTACCTACGTCGCCACGTTGCGATCGACCACAACACGTGCGGGATGGGATAGATACCGAGAGTTGAAGAGGGAAGCAAGACGCATTTGCAGACAGAAAAAGTACAAAGAGATTGATAATTCTCCAAAAAAAAGAAAAACCCCAAAGGTGAATTATGGAGAGAACACTTCTCCAGCCTACTGAAATGCAATGAACGTACAACGCCAGAAGGCGAACCCGATTCTACAATCGATGACGATGGAGCAGACTATGAAGACGTTCGAATAGTAATTAGTAGGGTGGGTCATTTCGGTAGCAAATGACGTGACAAATAACTTTTGTTTTATTCATTTTGCCATGAGATGCGTATTTCAGGCGCTAGGTAGACAATTTCACGATTTTAGGCGAATTTCCGAAATTTCAAGGCCGGAGTTGGGGTTGAAGGTGCAACCCGATCTCAAAACAAGAAGTTTCATTGGAATCAGACTAAGGCAACTTTTCCGCACTATTAGAAATCCCGAATCGAAAAAAGTTCGGAATCGACCCACCCTAGTAATTACCCGCCTAAAGAACAATAAAGCGGCGGGGGCCGACGGATTGCCGGCCGAGCTTTCAAACACGGCGGTGAAGAACTGATAAAGAGCATGTATTAGCTTCTTTGTAAAATATGGTCGAACGAAAGCATGCCCAATGATTGGAATTTTTARTCCAAAAAAAAGTAGACCCCATAATCTGCGCCAACATCGCGTAAGTATTGTGTGAAAGATTAATTGTGGCTTTAGACCTGGCAAATCAACAACCGACCTGATATTCACCAYGCGCCAAATCTTGGAARAGRCCCGTRTAAGGAGAATCGACACASAACATCTCTTCGTCGATTTCAAAGCTGTTTTTGACAGTCCGAAAAGGATCTGCCTTTATACCGATCATGTCTGAATTTGGTATCCCCGCAAAACTAATCGAACTCGACGAACAAAAAYCAAACTCTATAAGTCACTCATAATTCCCGTCTTGCTCGACGTTGCGAATTTTCGACAGAAAAGTTCTGCGAAAGATTTATGGGCCTTTGCGCGTTGACCACGGCGAATATCGCATTCGATGGGGCAATGAGCTGCATGAGATATATGACGTAATTGACATAGTACAGCGAATTAAAAGGCAGCGGCTACGATGGCTTGAGCATGTTGTCCGAATGGACAAAAAAACATTCCAGCTCTGAAAGTATTCGGCGCTGTACCCGCCGGGAGAAGCAGAGGAAGAGGAAGACCTCCACTCCGTTGGAAGGACCCGGTGAAGAAGGACCTGGCGCCGCGTAGCGAAAGGAAGAAACGACTGGCGCGCTGTTGTTAACTCGGCTATAATCGCGTAAGCGGTGTCTACGCCAATTAAGAAAGAGAGACTTGTACTAATTTCACTTCAGCAACTACGAACCTTTACAAAATAAGCAGCTGGAAAGTTTTCATTGCTGAGGTAAGAAACTTATTACTTCAGCTTATCAGAGGATCTTAAATTTTTTCAAAATTTTTTACAATAGTTTATTTCATAAAAATATCAGTTTAAAATTTAAACATGTTTTCAACAAATACTTGTTTAATAAATTTACTGTGTTTTAATTTATACAATCTAACATAGGTAGTCGAAAAAATCTTTTCGTGTTTTGTCAATAGATGCCATTGCAGTCGCATATCTCCAATGTTACCAATCACATTGTATCATGCCATATAGTGTTGTTATACTAGCAGCTTTTCAAAAATGTGTGAAAATAATGAAGAAATTTGCTATGTATTTAAATTTTTGTATATAAAAGAGAAGAATGCCACGCAGCGCTAAGAAAGAAATTTATAAAAAGTTTGATTATACATACGAAAAGACTTTTTCGGCTACCCTATACATAAATCAATTAATAGATAGTTAGTTTCTTAAAGAAAGCGATGCCGAAGAACAGGAAAATTCGCATTAGCATTAATCTAAAACGCTTTATCATATCAATTAAAATAATCAAGTTTTGAGTATGAAAATGTAATAGAGTTTTTCACTTACTTGACAGGGATGATAAGATAATCAGTAGTTCCTAAATAAGAAATTTSCACTTGATATATTTTTGTCGCGTTATATCCACATGGCATTATCATAATTGTAAATTATGACAGCGCGTGTTCATCTCGTTAATAAGCGAAATATTTTTGTAATTAATAGCGTACAGCAGTGGAATCAATTTCTGATATCTGAGTACACTAGTTTATATAGCTTGTTGAGCAGAAAGTTAGCAATTCAAAATAAATTGTATACAACACCAACAACCACAATTTGTAAATAGACACTATCACACACACATTCTGGATTATTAATATAGTCAATTTGTATATATATATTTATATGTTAATTAACTCACTTTCAATTTCATGTCACCATGTTTGAAGAATTTTTTGCGCACTCGGAACTCCAACCCSAGTCGCGCCACCTCCAAGCCCTCACGTCCGACAATTATGGGATCGTATGGCCGCAGGAATGTCCGGTTCGCATGTACACCATTAATTAACCAACTGAGATGACACACCGGCTTGGACGGTGCTGATGTACAATTCACGCGCACAATGTCATCAATTTGGTAACGCGGCTGGCCACCGGTGATTTGCGGTCCATGCTTTGGTGTAACTGCAAAGAGAAAAGCATAACATAGCATTAAGTATGAGCGCATGGAGACGGTACAAGCAATCGCAAGGACATAAAGGTGTGTAAAGCTGACAATACCACAACGCGCTGCTATATAGAGTAGCAGATGCGATATGGAGAGTTAGCAATCCCGTTTGGGGTTCGGCAGAGGCCAGTATGCTGATAGCTTGTTCTTTTGGAAATTTGTAAGCCTAGTGAATGCACAGTATATAATTTTTTTAATGGATGAAATTAATAATATTTTTAGTTAAAATCAAAAAACATAATAAATAATTTAGATGTAGTAGATAGCTGTAAAAAAAAGTTTTTAAATATTGAACAGTTAAGGTGTAATTTTTTTCAAATTCAATCATGCCTTGATTTTGACTTGCCCTAAATGAAACCACAAAAGTTTTTCTATGTATTCAGTTCTCGGTCCTCCTAAATGAATCACATGTTGACTGCCTCAGCCGAACCATTTCATAAATAACTTGCCTTAATCCGGACACCTTTTCCTATCACTTTATAATGTAGGAAAATATTTCAGTCACATGCTCTATGTTCAAAACAAATAAGTTTCGAGAAGGGCTCCATCGGGAGATAGTCAAACTATTAATTATTATTCTTGGAGTGTTGCTCGATTTTGTGTTTTTTCATTGAGACTGTAGTTACTCATATTTATAACGAATTTATATG